ATCTATCTATCTATCTACCTTTCTATCTGTCTGTCTATCTATCTATCTATCTATCTATCTATCTATCTATCTATTTATCTATCTATCTATCTATCTATCTATCTATCTATCTATCTATCTATCTATCTATCTATCTATCTATTTATCTGTCTATCTGTCTGTTTGTCTGTCTGTCTGTCTATCTATCTATCTATCTATCTATCTGTCTGTCTGTCTGTCTGTCTATCTATCTATCTGTCTGTCTGTCTGTCTATCTATCAGTCTAGATATATTTGTGAATACTTATAGTGTCTGTTTTGTCAGTATAATTTGACTGTGGATAACATACTCTAAGTTAAACATTGTATCTAATGCGCCCGTATCCTAAACCGGCAAGCTATGTAATTAATATTGATCTGATTTCATAGAAACATAGACTAGATGACAGGCGATAAACTAAATGGTCCACGTAATCTATCTCTTTCCCCTAGAACATTTAACTCAGAGATTAAACCACAGCATTGTTATAGATTTTTTACCATCCCCCCAACTGCCACGCAGAGGGTAAAAAACCTTAGGTCCTATTTGGAATTGTCACCATTCACACTGCATATTCGTTTACGTTGGCATTTTGACCATGAAGAAATTTGCCTGACACATGTGTGGACATTCCATATGTTAGCTTTCTTGGTACCACAACACAGCCATCTGGCACACAGGGTAAAACAAAGGTCAAATGCGATTAAATAGTGAGGGTTTGGTGCAAATAAATATAAGGGTTATGGTTCCAAAATAGAATTAGGCCCAGATTAGGCAATGGGATGGTGGTTTAGAGCAAAATGGGCTAGTTAATCATGAACACTACGAATACATAAACATCTTAATTCTAAAATTGGTAAAATAATTTCCGAATTCAAATTATTTTGTGATAAATATTTCTTTGCACCAGCAGATTTCAAATTGCCGAAACCTGGCGATGATACAACTGGAAATACGTTTACGTTTATCTATTCATTTATTTTTTCATTTTATTTATTTATAGTAGTTCAATGACAGTTAGACAGATTGTAGGTTAAATTATACCTTCTACATGTACGGATGATGGAGATAATAAGACTAGGGTAAAAGTCTGTTGATATGTGGTACTTGGCAAAGAAAGCTGCCCATTGTGATCAGGGCCGGTGCAAGCATTTTTGCCAACCCAATCATGCAGATTAACACACACGCTGACTCAAGTAGACACACACTGACCCATGCAAACACACACATATAGATACAGTGACCCACAGAGACACACAGTGACCCATGCAAACTGACACACATGCCCATATAGACTGACACACACTGACCCATATGCACACACTTACCCATATGCAAACACTGACCCATGCAGACGCAAACATACAGACACGCTGACCCGTGCAGACACAGAGTAGCCCATGCACAAACATACACTGACCCATACAAACACACAATAACCCATACAGACAAACACACAATGACCCATACAGATGTTAATGTAATGACCATATGGGCTAGTCCCAAGGGAAATAAAGGTTGAGACAGTTCTTCTTGATTCCTCTAAATGTAGCCTTGTCTTGTTATTGGAGGGAGCAGTTATAATCACACTGGGGATTGCTATGCTCTGCATGCTCCGCTGAGCTTGAATCACTTAGCTGTTTTAAGAGCTTGTTCCTGACACGCTCTCATTGGAGGAGGGTTCTTCCCTGCACAGTCCTGGATGCTGGAGGTTCATACAGGGTGGAAGGAAGAGGTCTTTCCCACACGGTCCTGGCGGACAGAAGCTGATCCAGGGTGGAAGGAAGATGGCGAGACTCCAGTCAAGCTACAGCGGTTGCGGAGTCTGTGGTGGTTGTGGTGTCCGGTGTGGTGCTTGTGATCCTCGGTGCAAGCTAGGAAGCATCCATCAATGGAGGGTACTCGGTCGGAGTACGTGGAGCTCCGTTACACAGGGGAAGGAGTGGGAGCGAGGAATAGAAGCGCCCTTGACTGTGGTCACCACCGACCTGCAATGAATGTCTGGGAGGGGGGTCCTAGCTGATGTGTATGCCACCGGACAGGTATTCTACTGGGCACTGGTGAGCAACAAAGTAATTCCGACCATCCAGTAACATGGCTGCTCATGGTCGGCATGCTCAAATTAATCTAACTTGATGGAGGGGCGGCCACTATCATAAAGCCAGAGCCAGCGCCCCCCCTTAAGCAGCGCCACCTATGCGGCTGCCTAATTTGCCTATAGGAAGCGCCAGGCCCTGAATGTGAACCAAGTAATAAAAACCAACAGAACTAACCCATACTACAACCTCAGAAATAAAGGGGTGTGTAACAAACGTAAAATAAATTAGTTGGAATGTAATACGCATCTAACAGCATTGCATGAAAAGAGTCAGTGCTGGATAGGTTCCATAGCAGCTATAAAATGAGATTAGAGCAATGTCAGGGGATCAGCAGAATCAGATAGAAAGTAGATCACCAGTCCCGTGTGCATCACCTGTCCCATATAATTCATATTATTCCAAAACGCAGAGCATCTCTCATCCAAACAAGCAAGCATCCTTCCTAGGAAAAAAGACAAATTAATGGAAGGTCATGGGGTGACATACATAGACATTGGGGAGTAAGACAATAGACTAGTATGAAGGGAGGGTTTGTAGAGAGTCATCATTTAAATAGCAAGGGTTTTAGGGCTTATGGTGGGGTCGAATTGAGATGCAATTCAGATGTTTAGCAGGGACTCATCCTAGAGGTCCACTGAAGTCACCCAGACCACTTCATCCCAATGAAGTGGCATGGGTGCAGTGGCCCTGTATGTTTAACCCTCCAATGTAAAACATTGCCATTTTGCATAAACAACAATGTTTATAGTGAAGGGTTAAACTCCCTTCTAGTGGATGTCACATTGAAAGCCATTAGAGGAGCTTTGTCCTCCAGAACAAGTCAAACTCGGCCCTGCAATGAAATGATGCAAATAGTTTGCCTATATCATCCACCAATGAATCTCTATGAGAAGCATTGGATTGGATGAAGCTGCCGAAAACGTTATGCTGGTGTCTTCAAAGGCAGAGCGGCTGCAGCTGAGAAGTCTAGGCGCTGGAATTAAGGTGAGTAAATTTAATTCAACTTTAAATGTTATCTGTGAAGAGGGATGGACAATGGGCACCATGATTGAACTTAACAAAATGTTGGAACTCTGTTGACTAATGTCTAGGTCAATTATTTGAAAAATGTATAGATTAAGCAAGAAGCACTCTCATTGGAACTCTATATTGGAATATTCTGTAGTTACATTTGAAGAGGTATTACCAATACTACTCATTTTATTCAACCAGAAACACGTTACTTTGAGACTCTTTGAGGTTATTTTCTTCCTATTCCAAATAATACCATGAAAAAGCAATGATTAATGGTAAAAACGATGATTGATGGGTCGGGGACAGTTAGGGGACAGTCACTGAAGGTTGATTTTATTCACAGATCAAGTGCGAAGGGGACAACAAGAGGAGCAGTAATATATATACATATATTAAATATGTAATAAATAATTGGTTTGTTTTGCAGCTCCTTCTCTATTGGTCAACTCCTCACGTGATCTGTTAATAAAATCAGCCTTAAGTGACTGTCCCCTAACCATTAATCATCCTTTTTTGGGGCGTTTCATGGTCCATGATTTGGTACTTCTTAGGTCGGGGTTCGGGAGTTCAACTAATCACCTGATCGGCCCAAATTCGACTAAACTGCAGTTCAGCACAAAAGAAATCTCCAAGTCTACTGAGCACATTATTGTCCCCACTTTTATACTGAGCTACAAATTATCACACCTCTCAGACCATGCAGAGCTCCTCAGGCCCCCATACTATATAAAAATAATTGTTTATATATAAAGTGGCTCTGTGATGGCATCTTTTTTTAGAATTTTTTCTGCAATCTGTGCAGCGAAATATTTTTTAATATTGACGTTTTTTTCTAATAAACAAGTGTTATCTTATCGCTGTGTTCAACATGATCTGAGATGTTACTCACAGACCTGATTGCAGTTTGTCGAAATCGGTCTGTGATGAATCATTTAAAAAAACAAAGACTTTTTTTTCCACGCGGCTATTAAATCTCAGATGATTAATTAAGGGCACAACGCCAATACAAGTGTCTTTGTATAAGTGCAGTGGACAGGACAGCCTTGGGAAAGTTAATGTCTTAAGTAGATGCCACAACATGTTTTTAATTATGTCCGGGAAAAAGAACAAGAATAGACTTTGCCAACTGTTTGGAAAGATCATTTTTATTTTATTTATTTTTTCAGAAGAAAGATGAGAATAAAAAAAAAATAAAACACAAAAAACAAAACAAACAGAGCATTATTGATTTAACACAAATGGCATTTGTTGGTCCTTTTGTAATTTGCTTATTAATGTCATCATTTCAGAGTTTCTATGTTTCCTTCTGTTCTGCCATTTGGCTCGCAGTCAGCTCCCAGCGATACTATACTATAAACAAGAAGTGACTGCTTCTGTTGGGACGCGTGTTATATCTAGTAAATGTACCAATGGCAGATTGAATGACGATTTGGTTATTTAAGGCATTTTACAGTTGAGTTTGAAAAGGCCAGAAGCTAACATTCATTGACCCTCCATCTAACCTATAATTGTTAATCTGTGTCCGGGGGACTTGAAATTCATAATGTGGTCGTGTATAAATAGGGAAAAATAATCCTATTATACACTGACTGGGGTAGACCTGGCAATTTTAGCATAATGTAGCCTCATCGTTTATGCTACAAAAATATAACAATTATCTAGAAAATATAAATAGAGTGCTTTTATTTTTGGTCAACATGTTATGTCTACTTAATTTAGTCATCTCTATACAAGAGGGTGTTACAGTCTGAATATATTTTTCGGGAGAGATTTTGATTTGTTAATTCACCCCGATTATACACCCTGATCGAGTTTCTGCCCATTTACATTGAGAATCAGATATGCAAACATCTGTAACCAGATCAAAATTCACTCCATACCCAGACTATCTGTCAATTTACTGTTTACCTGGAGAATCAGCTCTGTATCCACGAGAGTCTTCCCATTCACGTTGTTACCCACAAGAGTTTGCCCATTCACTTCGTTATCCAGGAGAGTCTGCCCAATCACTTTGTTACCCACGAGAGTCTGCCCATTCACTTTGTTACCCACGAGGTTCTGCTCATTCACTTCGTTATCCAGGAGAGTCTGCCCATACACTTTGTTACCCATGAGAGTCTGCCCATTTACTTTATTACCCACAAGAGTCTGCACATTCACTTTGTTACCCACGAGGCTCTGCTCATTCACTTCGTTATCCAGTAGAGTCTGCCCATACACTTTGTTACCCATGAGAGTCTGCCCATTTACTTTATTACCCACAAGAGTCTGCACATTCACTTTGTTACCCACAAGAGTCAGCCCATTCACTTTGTTACCCACAAGAGTCTGCACATTCACTTTGTTACCCACGAGGCTCTGCTCATTCACTTCGTTATCCAGTAGAGTCTGCCCATACACTTTGTTACCCATGAGAGTCTGCCCATTTACTTTATTACCCACAAGAGTCTGCACATTCACTTTGTTACCCACAAGAGTCAGCCCATTCACTTCGTTATCCACGAGAGTCTGCCCATTCACTTTATTACCCATGAGAGTCTGCCCATTCACTTTGTTATCCAAGAGAGTCTGCCCATTTACTCTGAGTGTGTCTTCTTTTTATTTTACGCAAAGTGTAGGTTTCAATAGAATTTGGCACTTTTATAAATGAACCTTGTTACAAAATCCCCTCCCCCCCCCCACCGGCTGTCAATCAGAAAACTGTTCCTGTCCCTTCCTTGTTTGTTCAGCTCAGTGGAGATAAACTCAAGAGGCAGCCAAAGTCCAGAGCACCTGCCTTGCAAAGACTTCTCATTGAGCTGCATTGGAAAGTCTGGACTCAATTAGTTATGAGTAGCTTCTGGAACACTAGGTGGCCAAATACTTCATTCTGCTGCCCAGCTAACTTGAGTAGTGTTTAGACAGACCAGGATGATATACTGTTACTAAGACAGGATGCTCACTATAATGGAATCCGCAGGAAGGACATGTGGCAGAATAGAATGTTAGGGAGCATGTGAATACTTTCAATTATCATTCTGTGTTAGATAATGTTATACAATGCCTATGATTTGTCACATATATTCTACAGATAACTTGCTATTGTGGCATTATACAAATATATCATTTTTTTTTTGTTTCCTATATTACTGAGATATTGGGAATCTGAATTCTCAAACATACTAGCGTCTGCATTTATCCACGATCATAGTATTTATATCCTATTTTATATACCACTTGCTGCGTGATATAAATCTGATAATATTTATTTTGATCCAGAACGGATACAACCTTAAGACATGGATTTGCACACAATAATCTTTAACAATTTATCTGCAGTGGAAAAACAAATAATAAAATAAAATATATATATTTGGGATCGGTAATATAGAGACCGTGAAATACCTTGAGATTAGAGCAAGTCGGTGTGGGTGTGCCGGAACCAACGTAAGGGTAGGCCTGTAACAAAGAGGGCCCCGTTGGAAGAATTGTTTAAGTAAAAAGAGGGGTGAGGTGGGTGGGGTGAACAGATCGCCATGGCAAAGGTAAGAAGGGGAGGTGTAGGGTTTTATAGGAACGCTAACTACTCCCACAAATACAGGCTTGTGGCCTTTAAACATACATATATATATCTTATATTTTTTTTTATTGAAATCATTTAAGAGCAATCTAAGATCTTATTTATGTATTTATTTTTTTTATTCCATATGCAGCAAATGTTTAAATAAATGATACATTTTACTTTGAGATTTATTTTTTTGGTAGCAAAAGGGTTAATATATATATATATATTCATTGTGAGGGTTGCACCTTTAATGAAATATCCTTGTTTGTATCTCCTGAACATCACAGCTAAACTCTCTTGCATGTGAAGCTGATCGTTGACTTCATGAATTAAACATTAAATGGAACAGTTGCAGAAATTATTAAAAGTAAATGAAGAAAGATTGGAAGCGGGAATGAACACAGGGTTCTGGTCTCTGGTTTTGTTTGCTATTTATTAATGCACAATTCTCATTTTGTCAAACATGCTAATAATACACTACAGAAAACCAGTTAATTTATGCTATACGTGAAAAGAGATAATACGATGCAATACGGAGGCCTTAACTACAATCTGATATTCCTTCACTTACCAGTAGAGGGCGGCCGGCAGTGGAGCTAAGGTTTCAAGAGGCAAAACTATAAGCATTTTATAATTACATCACTACATATAAATTAATTAAATTAATAACAGCAACAGATTAGCATTTGTTATTTTCTAAATTCTTTATTTTTTCTGTGCATGAGATAACAACAAAGCTTGCTATGCCACGACAATATTAGCAGACACATCAAAAAACAGGAATATAGTGCTAGTTAGACATGCTGGTGATCGATAGTTATAAAGATTATGGAACATGCTAGACTATTATGCCTTTAGATAAAACAAAAATGGGGCTAAAGCAACTTAGAATTAAAAAGCAGAAAGTAAGCACTGGGGGTAACCAAACGGTATGACAAGCAAAGGCCATGAGGCTAATTAGAGCACAATGTACAGAGTGGGAGCACAGGTATCACTCTGTGAGTCACCATATTGGCCATATTGTCGAGAGATCAGTTCCTTGCCAGGACCAATATACCTTCCCAGAGAAGTATGATATAATATTCTGATCTATATAAATACAGCTTATCACATTTCTAAATGTAAAACAGAAAACAATCGAAAGAATATGTCTAGCAGGGAAGAATCTGTTGGATTGACATAGGCTTGTTCAGTCGATGCCCACGAGTGGAGAGCCAGCAACCCAGAAACACAAGAGTTCCCTACAGCTCCAAGCGATGGTGCTTTCCTATTTCGTAGGTCAATAGGACCGGCTGTGTCCAGCCTCAGGAGCAGATTTCCAGGCTTGTTCATTTGCACGCCACTGGCCTTGCTGAGTGGGAACCCTCCGATTGAGCCGATTGAGTTTGCAGACTTGGCTCCCTCCGGAGCGCCTTGCAGGAGAGTGGTATCAGGGCTGTTTAGCAGAATTTCTGCGAGAATGTAAGAGTTGTGGCCTCCGCCTTCTGTTCTTCAATATATTTAGGCGGTGAGGTGTACGTGTCAGCCTGGAGCAGGATTGGTGAACCGCTACTTCAACTATATTTTCCGGTTCAATAGGTGAGGTATGGGAGGGAGGTCCGTGGTATATGTGCCTCCAGAACGCCCAGCAGATGTGGTCGAAGTGAGCCTCAAAGAGCTTCCTCCAGCACAGGAGCTCTGAACCCTCAGACTGTGGAGGTTGTGGCATGGCGGCCATCTTAGGAATGCCATGTGGGCTTCGGCTCTACATGAGGGTCATATGTTGCAGGTAAGTAGGTTTCCCGACTGGGGACTGGGATATCCCCCAACAGTTGTGGGGCACAAAGAGATTTGCTGTTTGAAACAGACCCTGTGGTGGGAGATCGGCTGCTTTCCCCCAGCCTCCAGGTCGCCTGCCATGCTAGGCCTTAAAACATATAAAGCGTGTGTCCACTAATTCCCACTCTGTTCAGCAGCAAACCACGGTCATTACAGACTTTGTTTATCATGTTTTTGGGCTGTATTAGCCCAAATTAAGCTCAGCAAAGAACACAAAAACATAATCTAAATTAAAAAATGATGTATATGTAAATAATGAACAATAAATCATTGAGGACTTCTACCACATCTAAAATATAAACTGTTATATTTTCTTAGAAACAAGATGTTACAGCATTATGGTAAATGTAGTCCACAACATCGGAATTGCCGAAGGTTGCCTACCACTGCTGTAGACCAATAGTTCGTCAGCCGATCCTCGTGGCACACCAACGCCAACAGTTTAAGTTTTGTCAGTATCCCATTAGGAGATGCCCAGATCCTCCACAGTTGTTATGTGCTGACAATTGACTTAGAAAGAACTCCTATTGCCAATTGATTAGTTTCTATGAAATCTAGTCTTGTCCAAAACACCAGCAATACTAGCAGTGCCACAGTGCCACTGAGATATCTCTTGCTACAGTCATCTATGGTTAAACTGCCCAAGAAAAGACATTTATCCATAAATTTGTTATATATTTTGACGGAACTCAGGACAAGAAAGTGTATCTTTACACAGCATTTGCAAGAAATGTCGAGAATCGCAGAGGTAAAATCTTTAATTTATTTATTCTTAAATTATTGCATTCTTTGAAAAACAAAGTTTTTTAAGACTATGTATTTAGAGAGACAAAATATAAGTGGTGACAGTTCCAGTTTTCTGAAACTATTTTTTTGAGCAAATATAAAATGTGATGCCAGGATATTGCAAATGAACCACACCTTTGTAAACACTATAAAGTATATTAAACTTTATATTGCATTCCGCAGGTACATAAAGTTCCAATAAAGTAAATATTACCGACAGTGAACTAGTGAGAGACAATATTACGCAATACTATCTCCTACAGCAGAGTTTTCAAGATTCTTGGAACATAGTAATTAAATCTTGCCTACTTTAAAATCCAGTAATTTAATTGTAGTATTTTATTATATAGTGTGATTAATCCAAAGCAGGATTGTATGTCCAAAGCTGGAGAAAGTAAATCATTGATACTAGTAATGAATTGTCCTTTATTTTAATTCTGCTTTACAGACGCCAACTTAAACATCTTTATTGTCTTTATATTGCCATCTATAATCCCGAGCATCATTACAGTTTAGGGTACAGCAGTGCACCCCACACTTTGATTTTACATCTTACAATGCTGTACCCCACAAAACTTATCAACAGCACCTTAAGCATAGGTTCCTCCAAACCCCCCTAGCTTAAAATACTTTAGCTTCCTGGAGTACTTTATGTGTGACAAGTGTATGCTAGTATTTATTTATTTTTTATTGACAATGCAGATTTCAATAAAAAAAATTGGCACTTCTATAAAGCTGTCAATCACAGAATCAGTCCTGTTACTTCCTGGTTTGTTTAGCTCAGAGGAGATAAACTTGAGGCAGCAATTGCCCAGAGCACCTGCCTTGCAAAGACTTCTCATAGAGCTGCATTGGGAAGTGTGTGATTGGACGGCCACAGAGGGTCTGTTTTTAGATATACCCAATGATCAAACACATAATTAAATGTATGCCTGTTTTCAAAGGGTATATCTACAACATAGTGATTTTTATTTTCTTAACTTTTGGTTGAGCTGCGGGGGGTGAAGGGGTGAGTGTTCCTTTTTACATAAAATTGTTATAGAGATTTCTTACATCTCAAAGGATTTAATTTCACTGGCATGCTCAAGGGGTGTGCCAATATTGAATGAACTAAGCAATATTGCATTTTTTAAATATAATTATTTTATAAACATGACACTATTAATTTGATCCACCAGATGTCTTAAAATAGGTTCACTTTGCCAACAGAACAAAGAAGTTATGTACTGTAACAAGGACGGTGCCAAGAATCCTTTTTTTTTTAGCAGCCCCTATACTTAGAACAAAGCAGTGCAATGTTGTCTGAGCTATGATAATTGACTGCAATATTTATTTTATTAGAACGTTATGTATCTCAGGAATTGTAAAGGCTTTCAATATTTTG